CTTTTGTACCTGAGTCAAATGACAAACACGAAATCAAATAATTTCCGTGAATCATTGAGTATTTAGTCTCTGCGATGAGATAGTTCGGAAACAAAACGGGTTTCTTGTCGCCAAGCTGAGCTCAAAGTAAGTGCAAAAGGTTATAATTTTGTGCTGGATGGCTGACAGCGACATCGAAAGGATTCCTGCTGAGAAAATGAATGAATAAAGATAAGCGTTAGAAATTTTTAAATCGTAATCAGCGGGTTCCAATTCAAAAGACAAAGATGGGGATATTTGTGGTCATAACTCATTCAGACCTAGCATGGAGACGATGACACCTTTTCATTCACAAGTTTAGAGTTCCTAATTCCAAGTTTGTTCATTTATCAATGCTTAGTGCGCCCATGGTGTTAATTCATCAATTTGTTCTCAATTTGGAAACTTTGATTCAATTTGCTATTGTTGTGAGTGACCTTTCTTCACTCTCCTACGGCCATCTCGAAGGATCTGTTACTTGAAAATACTTCTACATTAAAAACATATTTTAAAACTACAACTTTCAGAAGTGAAATGGTAGTGTTGCAGAAGGCTGGTGAGTTCTGTCAGCCTTTCGCGAAGATCTAAACCAAATACTTTTCTTTGATTAATAGTATTTGGCGAGACACTTCCCCCCAAGCAAGATTGATCGCCAGAGAAGTTGGTCATTTAATCAACATCTGAAAAAGTGTCCCACATTTATCAGTAGCTTATTGCTAAGACCTGGTTACTCCCCACATAGAATATCGGCGAGCATTTAAACCAAATTATGTCATGTTTTCTCGCTCATTATCGCTATTACGGAAATTAGATCAGAAACGCGATACATTCGTCAATGGCTGTATCTGTGGATTACTGCTTTCGGTCGGATAACATTTTTGGGGCGGACGTATTTATCCGCGTTGTCTCTCACGTTACCATTTAAGTATTTTGAGCTTGCAGTTGCAAGTTTTTCTCCCCAGAACCGTGAAAGAGGAATTTTGTTGTAGAGCCATGATTGCCCTGGTCAACTTCATCTCTCAGACTTTGCATTACAATGCGTGCGTGAGGTTTAACACTTGCACCATGAAACATGTGCATGTAATTTGCCTGTAAGACAGGAAGTCATCCTTGTACAAACACTTTCGAGTATTTCCTGTTTTTTGCTTTCGTGTCTCGAATCACCTGAAGATACGACAAACTGCAAAGTGACAGTTCATTTGTATTTTTTGCAGACAATAGGGGATCCCTTCCGCTGAAGGAAATGAAGTTCCTAAGTTAATAATTTATCACGTAATTCTTGCCTATGTACTCTGATGTCATATTTTAAATCAGCCAAACCATTCAGAAGGATAGGATCAATTCATTATTATTTCCGTGTAAAACTCCACTTCTTTTCATTAGCTTCTGATAAGGCATCAGAAGTTTTACTCTGACATTAAGTCGCTTACGAAAACACAAAACATAATGGCTGGGACACAACCCCTATCGCCAAAGTCTATTACGGAAACCACGCCGCCAACATTTTTAGATAATTGGGTTTGTTATTATCAGCGAAGTTCAAACAAACACAAGTCGTTGATTATCACAGACTTCCCCACATCCGTTTAATTTCATTTGGCTATCCTAGTGTAAGGGCAAACATAACCATGCGAAGTAACACGCATTTTAAAACAATTTAGGATATTAGAGCCATTGAACTAACACTTTCGTTTAGTTCAACTGTCAACGCTTTTTAAGTGTCAACTCTAGAAGAAAGACACCTCCCAATAACAGCAGACATATGAAGTCGTCTTTGCCCTCAGAATACTTCACTAATCTTCTCTTTGTAGATGATCATCAGAAAAACAGTCGGTTGCATCTTCTTACTCTGCTCTTTCCTAAGATAAGAGGATTTCTAGTCGTATATTCTCCAGAAAGCTATCTTCCTCAGATCGGATAACTCACCAAGGAGGCACCATTATAAAGTCCATTATTTTACAATATCCCATTGCTTTTCTACCAAACAAAAGGCGAAGACAAACTCTGCAAAGAAAAACAAACAAACTAACAAAACTCCCAGACACGTGCACTTTGAGAAGTTTCTTGAAAGACAAGCACTTTACGTAACGTGATTCGTTTGGTATCTTGAAAAGCGTAGTTAGTGTGAAACCTGTAGGAACGGAAACCACAGTGATAGAATAGTTTTAGATGCTTGTAGTACTTGTAATTTGGCTGGGAATTCAGGCTTTACACTGAATAAACAATGGAGACCAGTACGTATTGGTTTCATGAGGTCAGACCTTAACTGAGATTTCCAAATTTAAATAAAGAAAATTTGGTGAAATGGGCAATAATGCCTACGTAGATGAATGAGGTTCTCGACCACGGCTTGGATTTTGACGCACAACAATTGAGTTTCTCACTAGCCGCGGTAGGAAAACAAACATGGAGCTTGAAATGACACTAAGTCATTTAAAAATATGCTGTAAAAAACGATTTCCATATATGTTTTGAAAGCCTTAGATTTCACGATAGCAATCACGTAGGGTTCAAGGACAGAGTGAAAACGATTAGGCTATCCTTTTTGAAGCTTTCTCACGATAAAGCAGAGCCTTTAACTTTTAATAATGTGGCTCCATCAACTGACTTGATAATGTAAATTGGCCGTAAAGAGTTCTTAAAAACTCTCGTTTCGAGCGTTAGCCCTTCGTTTAAGCGAATACTCCCAAGCCCCCGACGCAGTACCACAGTTTATTTAGAAACTTACTCCTTTCATAACTCTTGGTTAACATGGGTTTTTCTCGATAACTGAAGTACATATCAAAGATCTCCTCTTCAAATGACTAACATTGAGAAGATTTTTATATTTGCGATGTTTCCGAGTTGAGTCATTTTAGTGCCAGAGAGAACTTGATCGGTCTTTAACTGTCGAATAACACCTTTCATTAACCGCAAGCAAACGAAGTTTGCTGAAGGATGGGGAAAAAAATACGTATTGCAGATAACAAACTGTAGCGAAAAATAATTCAAAATTTTCAAGAAGGACAGTTGTTACCTTTTCGATCGAATTCTGCTTTTATCATTTTAAACGTTGTTGTATAATCACCGATATAAATGTATCATTTTCCATGATTTAGTGTGTAGACAGTAGCTACTTAATGAGATGTCAGTCAAAGATGATTATAAAAATGTAGACTTTACTGAAAGGTGTTCAAAGCGTAAACCGGCGTCGAAGATAAATCCTTCCTCACTGATCAGTGCATGTTTTGCTTTATTTTTCAGTTTGCTCATGACAAAAAAGGTAAGTTCAATAGTTCACATCAAACGGCATACGTGTAAAATCTCATATATCATGTTGTTATTTTCCTTTATGAAAATTATTTTGCAGTAATGTCCATTAGCCGGCTTTTAATTGAGGTCACTACACTTACACGGAAAACGAAACAGGATAAAAGTAGTCAAAGACAGTCTTTGTCGGATTTTTTTAAGTTAGTGTGCCTGTGTGCGAACAGTGAACTTCGAAAACAACTGGATCATCAACCACGAGAACTTGAAAAGCGTCCGGATAGAACAACGCAAGTATGATGCCCAAGGCAGTCCTAAAAAAAATAATAATAAAAAACAAAAACAAAAACAAACAATAATTCCTGAAAATTGAATTTCTGCTTACGGACCCCATCGCTCTTGGCTTTACTTCACATTGCGATAATGCGGATTCATTAGATTTCTAAAGAAGATTAAGAGATGACTAATTTGGTTTCCTGATTCGAACAAGATCAATTGCATGTGCTACGCAAAGTAAGTTAAGCTTAATGATCAGCTGTGATTTTAAAGATTTCAGCTAAAGTTTTCACAAAAAAAAAACCCTTACAACGCCAAACATCATGCATTCAATCAGCGAATCTTGCATCCAACGAAACTTCTTCTTGAGGTGCTGATTTTGAAGTAAAGAGTTTCTTATTTCTTCACAATTGTGAACATTAATACTCATGTGATCTTTCTCATTTCCTGGCCTAACCTGGGATCATTTTAGATGCTACAAAGCCATATCATTATAGGTATTTTTAATTTATTTCAAATATGTTAGCAGAAGTCCTCTCTCTACTCGCAATTCATGTGCCCACAATCGGCCCCGTCTCATTTGTAGTGACCTCTTCCCATTCCGCATAAAAATCCCACGATTTGACCCCAGATCATTTGTGGTCTACCTTATATCAGCATATGTCTGTCAATTTATCTCAACCCTTAAGAGCTGATGAGTAATTTGGGCTGATATTGTTAAGCAAACAACACGGATTCATCCAAGGTCCAAGAATTGTGGACATTTTTTCACTCCGGTCAAATTCTTCCATGTCCGGTTAAATGTTTGTTTTACGACGGTCTCAGAAAAGTACAAATGAACATCGCAGTTTGTCAACTCACTGCAAAAAATGACTAGCTAGTTCTGTCCAATAGAAATTCATTCGATTTATAAATCTTTCAGTGGAATTTTGTCCAGTTCTTTTTGTTCTTGGCGGTGGCGGGGAATGAGAGAAATGGAAGGTACAAAAATATAAGAACTAACGATTCAAATAAGAAAGAAACGTTTTTCAATCAAAGAAAAAACAAATTGCTTTCATTTTATTGCCTCGCAAAAAGGTACGTCTAAAGTGAAGAAGACTCGTAACATCACGCACTTTCTCGGTACGATAGAAAAATCGGAAGGGACAAGAAATCCGATAACAGGCGATAAAATTGGAAAACTCCATTTGAAGTCCTTTTTAAGTGCCTTAACTGTGTAATAACCTCTTTTTAAAGGAAAAATGTGACTCTTTGCCCTCTATCGGCAGAGAAGTTGATTATCAATTGATTCATTTCTAGGATCTCCCCCGACATTTATCAAGTCCCTCAAGAGCAAAACGATTCGAGAAGGCAAAGGTCTGTCCCTTACTTGTAGTGTAACAGGGAAACCCAAGCCTCGTATAAAATGGAAGAAAGATGGCCGGACCATTCTAACCGATGATAGAATTACGATTCGAAACATGCATAAACTGAGGATCAAAAATGCGGGTCCTCAGGATAGTGGTATCTATCATTGTTTCGCCAAGAACCGTCATGGACAGGCTAACAGTGAAAAAGCAAAGGTGACAGTCCTAAGGTGTGTTGATAATGTAAAAAAAGCCCAGCAATTTCAATTTTGCATGCAATTTGGCATTTGATTCTTTGTCTTTTGGCATGCCCCTTGACATGCATAAAAGCTATCAATTTGGCACACGATTCGGTGTGCAGTTTAACATGCAATTTGGTATGGCCTTTGACATGCATTAAGTCCTGAATAATTTGATCTAATCACTCACTTGGGTTGGTTTTTTATTCATCAATAACGATCCAAAGTAAAAAACAAGCATTGGTATTAATCGGTAAGGAAGAAATGGTATGAACGGTCGAGAGGTCCCTGGAGGGTTAGGCATTCTTCCACGCAGGGGGAGGGGGTGAGCGTTGAAGGATTTTCATCCTTAAAAATAATGTTAAATCAAATTCAAAATTGAGTAAGATCTGTTCCGACAGAAGTCTGTTTGAATAACAGCACCCTTACATATTACTTGGTCAAGAACTCAATCTCGGACCATGCGTACATCATTAGCACTTCTGTTAAGAACGTCCCTTAAAATGCAAAGTATGCTGCGATTAAAAAGAGGGAAAAACATCCAGTCTGTGCCCTTTGATCTGCGAGAACTGGCCAAACATCTTTTTTTTTTTTAAGTGATGGGACATGCAAGCCATACAACGGAACCATTTGCTCAAGATACATCTCCAAGGATACAAAAGTGTTTGTTCAACAACTCAGACCACAGCGTGAATCGGAAAAGAAAATTATTCATACAGCTTCAGTCCTAACAGGCTACATGAGTACTCAATGCAAAGATTCGCTTCTGAGAGCCCTCTGTTACAACCTCTTTGCACCGTGCCAAGGCGGAAAGCATAGGAGATCTCCGAGACGCCTTTGCAAGGACGATTGTGAAGTTATTCAAGGCAGGGCCTGTTCAAAAGAAATAAAGTTGCTTAACGAAAGGCTTGGCGGAAATGCCGATGAAATTATTCCAAACTGTTCCTCGTTGCCGTTTCAGAGCACAGTTGAAGCAAAGAATTGTTTACCGATAAGTAAGTGTTCAGTGATGCTAAGTGAGTAATTCACAACTCTTTTCAATCTTATAAGTCGATAATTTTTACAGATTTTATTTTTGAATCTTAGATTTCTTTGTGATTTTAGTTACAGGGCCCTTTTGATAATAGTTCTTTTAATAGAATTGATAGGTTATCCTGTATAAATATTCGCCTTATTATTATTATTATTATTATTATTATTATTATTATCATAATGTGCTATTGTGTTGAAGAAAGAGTGGGGGCGGGGGGCGGCGAATAACTCTGTGGGTGTACTTAACAAGAAGCATGCTGTTTAGGTTAACGGTTCTTTGAGGTTTGTTATGTAACATTTTAACTTCTGTGTTTTATTTTTATTGTCAAGGAAACAAAATGCAAACGTGTGAGACGTCCAAAGGTGAGACAAAAGAAAAATCGAATCATTATAACTACTTTTTTGTAAGAAAAAATATATACACGATATGTTGATTGCTGAAGTGATGGGTGAAGAAGAGAGAGTTACAAACATTTGAACATCAACAAAGAGGCATATTTCTGTGAGCGAAATCAAAGTGACCATGTACATTTTTCGTACGGTTTCCGAATCGTTTTCGAAATTTTCACGAGGAATCCTAAACGTGAACAAAGGTTACTAGTAATGATGTAAAATTTGAAAGGAAAAAAAAAACTTTGAAATATTTTTTTATCATGCAGATCCATTTCAAGCAAACATCAAGCCATTAAAAAGGACCTTTTCGATATGCAGTAAAAGATTTAGCCGGATCGATAAAATTTACAACAAAGAGGTACTCAGTCTCGTGAAAAACGTGAAGGCAGAGCTGCACAATGGTAACATGGCGCTAGAATCACAGTCTATGGAGTTATCGACTTATTGTCTTTCTGCCTCTCTCCCTCTGAGCAAACTGGTTCGTGATTGGACAGCTTACTTTAGGACGCCACTCCTCCCCAACCTCCCACGACCATACAACTTGACGGTTCTTGGATTGGAAATTTCGATGGTCAATTCAAGTGTTGGCTCCATATGGGTTCCTCTCGGCTACGCAGCAATATACACAGCACACAGGAAGATCACCTTGCGAAACGTGACCTTCTTTTATCGACACCAGTCAGGACATGGATCCTTCATTGCTAAAGGGAAGTACAAAATTTGTGATACTGTTTTTGATATGACTGTCGAATCACTTCCAGATGGTAATGTCAAGCTCAGCGGTAATTCAGAAACACCCATTGATGTAAGCACCATCGAAAATGCCTTCGTGTCCGCAAGTCCGTCTTCGATGTTGGTCAAAGCGATCGAAAAAGTCAACTTATTTGTGCTTCGTTTGATGAGACCTTCCATGGAAGCATACATCAATAAAGATTTGATTGTGAAATTCTCTGGAAAGTCATACTTATACATGGACACTAGCACCAAGGCAGTTCCTATCACTCTGGAAATTTTTGGCGGGAAGTGGGGAAGAGAAGACGTACTTTTGGCGGGAATTACTAGCAGTCGGATCACAATGAACCAAGCATTGCATTTGTTCACAAGCTTATCACTTCCATATTTGGACATGCATGCTTCCAACGAATCAAGAGTAAGTGTTACACGAAATCTTAAAGGTTATCGAGTTTTTAAAGCTTTTAAAAAATTCACGTGCTGACATTTTTTTTGGAATTTTTCAGGTTGGAATAGTACTCTCTGCTCAGGCTCTGGACCTTAGTAAAAGTCCATATGAAATATTTAAGGAAGCACCGCTGGCACATGCATTTGCAGACACTGTCCCTGACGGTTTAAGCCTGGTAACCAGTGGAGCAATTCCCGTTCAAACACACAAGGACAATCAAGTGTGTCAGCTTTTCCAGGTTGAGCAATTATTTGTAAATAAAATTTTCAAAAAAAGGATCCATTCGTTATTAAAGGGAAGGGCAGAACAAAATAGGGCGTAATAAAAGATAAATTGTATATCATACCGCATTTCTTTGGGCTGGAAAGGATGGAATTTTTACTGTGTGAACGTTGCACCACAAGAAGTATCAACAGCAGCCAATCCAAGCTAAAGAAAGATACAGCAAGGGACCAATGAAAAGTTAAAACAAGTAAATCACTCGAAAAGCGGGAAAGCCCAATTTATTAAGTCGTGATCGGCTTTCGTTTCGCATCTGCTTGGTTGAGAGAGTGGGGCGAATTTTCTGGACTATTACAGGGCAAATCAAAGCTAAAGCAATGTAATCTCAAACAACAAACGACACACAATTGCAAAATTTATCTTTTCATTTCACTAATTTAGACTATTTTTGGCCGTGGAAGTGAGCTTACACTGAAGGCATCGACAAACTGGGCTTCCATCAGCCTCGACTGGCATTTTATCAATCTTGCTGCAGGAGCATTGTCACCGTTTGACCGAGTGGAGATGAAAATGAAGGTACTCATTCCCAAGAGTGCAAGAATTCTACTGTCGTTTATCATGATTAAAAATTCTGCCTCACATTACACGTAGAAAAAGAGGATCTGCAGCGGTGTTCCCTTCATTAATAGTCTCTAGTTTTTCGGCAAGGTTTTGTTTTGATGTCGCCCAAAATGACGTCTTTTATCAGCTCCTGTGATGAAAAGCCGTTTTAAACAACACGTACAGAAAGAGAAGTGTTTTTACTTCAAACAGAAAGAACCTCAAGAACAGAAATATTTTCATAATTTTTTTGTCTTCCTTTTCATTTTAAACCAATAGATCAATGACACCAGGTTACTAAAGATAGAGCCTTTGGGACACATAAACATCCCTCTTAGTGGAATTCTTTACAAGAAAGGTCAGCGTTTAGACAGCTGGGATTTAAGTGGTCAGCTGACATACAGAGGACTAGAGGCAAACCTTGAAGCAAACTTTAAAACCCGATCTGCTTGGAGAAAAGCCTTTGGAATGGAGTACTTGACCATGAAGAACCTACAGTTAGGGTAAGAACGGAAAGAACAGCGAGATTTCGCAGTAAAAGTGTTGTAGAAAAAAAATGGACTTGATGATCAAGTAAAACAAAAAGGAAAGTGATTCGTTTACATCGCAGCCAGTAACCCATCGGGGAAGAAAGACAAAAAAAATTGAAAATGAGGAGTAAGGATGATTAAGAATGGGAATGATTAAATTGGATTGGAAAGAGCAAAATTTGGAGGAGGCCTGATGAACACGCAGCGGAGGACAGTCCGTAGGGTAACTAAAACAGAATTGTTCCTGCCGTCTTAATTAAAGAACGCCTCATCACCATGCTTAGTTAATATCAGATAGACATTATATGCGAGAGGGAGTGAGATTATTGAACGAGGAAAGGGTGGGTTCAGTAGAGAGATAAATCACTGACACTATATCTTTTCATTTCAGATTATCGTTACCGATTGGCCAGTCACAAAAAAGCAGCGCTACTGGCCAAGCTGAACTTCAGCTGGGTTCTCTGTGCAATGCAGCGCGCAATCGTAAGAACGAATCTATCAAGGTATGTAGAACACAGATCAATGGAAAAAAGATAAATTAAACGAGGTGTAACTTTCAAATGTTTCGATCGTCCATGATACATCGTTTTGCATAAATTTTATTTCAGAAAAGTTGCGTCACTGGTCATTTGTCCTTGGGATTGTCTGATAAATCTGCTGATCGTTTCTTTTACGGCTCGCTGTCTCCTGTCAGTCTTCAAAAACTGCTTGAAGTGTGTAATATCAATCACAAGCTGCCTGTCGCCCTGGCAACGATAGGATTTCCTGAAGGTCTAAAGGTACGAAAGAAGACTCCTTTACTTTCTCCAGTCCTCTATGCATGTTGGCCGCTTTGGGCCCAGGCCATTTGGAGTGTTGCAGCAGTACTTTTCCTGGACTGGAAGCTGGTTCATTGGAGGTTACCTCCAATGTTTTACAAACTTTTCCTGTCCACTTGCAGGTAACCATTGAAACCCCTGAATGGGAGAAGCACTTGGAGATTAGTCTCTCAAAAACCCAGCGCGCTGACCCGGCGAGAGATTGCGCGCGGATGTTTCGATTCGAAGACCAGCGCACAGATTGTGCAGTACCTCTCGTGCATCTAAAATTGTTCTGCAACCTCTAATTTGGGATTTTTTTCTCTTTTCCAGATCTCTGCCGCAAAAGGAGCGCACAACCTTAGCGTTCTTGGAGGACCAACCATAAAACCAGGTTTCATTCTGTCAGGCAAGATGAGTTTATTCGGAATTGAGACCACAGGAGCAGTTTCGCTTTTACCTGAAGAGGTATTCAAGTCCGCATAACACTTAAGCTTTTCAGACATCTACGAGTTTGCGTGAAAACTTGCTAGCCTGTTCTTGCAGGCGCGTCTGCAATGTGGGGGCTTATAGTGGCTGAGTACCACGGTTTGTTCCGTTCGTTTAAGGGCTATTTTTGTGAAAACTTATTTGACTGAACAAAGGGCCTACTGGATTATTTTGTTTTGAACCGCCATTTCATCAAAAAATAGCTTTATTTCTAAAATCATTTCCTTTGTTTTCCATTTCTCCAGTTTGTAATTGATGCCAAAATTAAATCAGATGAAGATCTCGCCACTATGGACGACATCACACTATCATCTTCCTCGACTGCGGGTTCCAATCTTAATTCCAAGCTTTATCTGACAGCTCGAATGGATTCAGTTCCATCCGTAAAGGTAAATAAAAACAGTGATGCATCTGTACGAGACTATGAGTGTAACATCTCGGCGCAACAGCAAGCGTTTCCAAAACGTACTTAAAATAAAAGCCGGGAGACAACCTGAGGCTTCAATGAGATGTCGACTATGCATAATACCTGCTTCTCTTACCAGCTGAAAAGGAAATGAGGAAATTGCCTAAAGAGATCAATTTAAAAAAAAACTGTGATGTCAATCCGCGGAAACACTCCCTGAGAAGCACCGCTGAACAAAAAACATAGCCTCGCTAAGCAGGTTTAAGCTTTCCTCGTTTCCAGACGACCCTCAATTCTTAGAGCGCAATGCGCGGGTTTTGCGGGAATGTTGCGTCCAGTAAATTGCTTAGCGAACCTTATTTTTTCCCCCTCCTTAGGCACACCTTGACGGCTTTCCTCGGCTGTTTGGTATATTTAAGGACGTACAGATGCTTGCTACCCGTGATTCTTTGCAAATTCATCTGGCCAGTGACGTCAACAAGTCCTACAAAATCGATGTCCACTTGATAACTAACTACAGCGCGAATCGTAACGACACCCAATTTAATGCCATGGTTGTCTTCGACAATGGTTTGTCCAAGGTAAGAGGATGTTTAAAGAGGAATAATAATTAGGTGTTACAACAACTTTAACATTTTGCAGCGTTATCTGAAAAATGTCCTCTACCGCTTTCTGTCATTTTTCTCTCAAGATTGTGAATTTTCTAGCTCTATGCTACTACTCGGATCAATGTCATTATCCCAACAACAGTCAACTGATGGTTTCATGTTAGGTCAGGAGACGGGTGGGTGCGCAGCTGGTCAGACACTGACATTCATCCAAATAATCTTCCAAATTCCGATGGTAACTTCTCACTGAGACATGCGCAGATCTAACACCCAACTTCCCTTCTTTTGCCTGTATCGCATGAAGACTCTAGAATTCGCTTTAAAAGTATCGATATAGCTGATCGATAGTATCGATAGCTGCAAGGATCTCTTAATTTCATCTCTCCACCGCAGTGCAAATATATGAATTTTCATATATCTAAAATCATCATTCACTTTGATGTTTATTTGGACCCAATTCATTGACCAGCTCCCAGTTGGCTTGTTAGCTCAATTGGTAGAGCGCTGCACCGGTATCGCAGAGGTCATGGGTTCAAATCCCGTACGGGCCTGAATTTTTGTCAGGTCCTATTTACAACTACTCGTTTCAGTAGTGTTCTTAGCTGCGAGGATCTCTTAATTTCATCTCTCTACCGCAGTGCAAATATATGAATTTTCATATATCTAAAATCATCAAGTGTCGATATCTTTAAAAAATTATGATTGATGTGGTTTATTTTCTCCTCAGTTGACACGTCTAGCCTCAGATTACGTGGTATCAATGCTTGAATCAGAGATGTCGCGACTAAAATCAGCCAAAAGTGAAGTACAACGCCTTAGAAGAGAATGCAACAAAACAATCAAACGAGAATGCTTCTGGTGTTTGAACCATGGAGTCTGTGCAAGTTCCTTCTCAGATGCACAAAATACCACGCAGAAGAAACGAGGTACGCCACGAATCGGTTCACCGCTTGACATTTGTCACCAGGTTGTAATGAAACGTTGCCTAGTCAACTCTGGGTACCACAATGTTTGCAGATTCGTTAGTGCAAACTTGAGCAAGACATGCGCAATTCACCGCAGTGCGGCAAGGTCTCAAAAAGAGCTGGAGGAGGGACTGCGCTGGGTCAAGGAAGCCGACCAACTTATGTACAGCGAACTGTTACAGCTCCACTCTATTTCGTTCAAAACGAATGTCACATCAACCAATCTGGAGAAGATTTACTTGGAAACTACCTTAGAACTAACAATATTTGGACAAAAACAAAGACTCGAAGGTCGACGCATGGACTTCAACGAATTCATGAAATTTTCGTCGGAGATTGCCAAGGACGCAGTGGACTGGTACCAAAAGACGCAGCCGCAGTCGAAGCCAAAATTACGTCATCCAGATAACAGGCCAAGGTCTCCGACGTGGTAAGCGAAGATACCACACAAATCTTTTCCTCTTCTCTTATACTTTTAAAGCGAACAGCATTAAAGAAGGAAATTTAAGTTTGTAACAAAGATATAGCCAAGGGAACTAATGTTCCACAACGGAAGAGATTTTACACTTTTATTGTCAAATATTACGAAGATTTGTTACAGTTGTAAATCCAATTGTTAAGTTCAATTGTTTAAACAATGAGCGGTGGTAATGTCACTTTGAATTATGGAGAGCGGTAGGTTCGCTAGATCTCTTTTGAAATGCCTCGTTTGAGAATTTCGTTATTCCTGATTAGTCGTGTGATAGCGTCACGCAATCATGTCACGCACGGAATGAGTTCCCAAATGCACAGCTGTAGGAGCAGCGATTTGGACACTGCTATTGCAGGGACCGCGCAGAGGTCAAAACAAAAAATAATTTAACAAAAATAAGGGGACCAAAAATAGCCCCCCACTCAAAATCTTGCAGCGCGGTCCCTGTATTGTAATTATTTCGCTATCTTTTAACACTGTTTATCCTCTGCTCTTAAGAGACACGTTTCGCAAAGACTTAAATATTTTTATAAAACAACATTAACTGTAGTCGAGACTCTTTCTGGCAACAAAATTGGTGCTTGTAATACAATCAAACGCTGAGCTATCAAGCTTGGACAATATCAGGGGAAACACCAACTTGTGCCGAGCGCGGGAAAACATCAGCTCTGTGCAAAGCATGGGAAAACGCCAGCTTGTATAAAGCAGGGGAAGACAAAAATCTTTGTGTAAAGCGCGGGAAGCTTGCATCAGTGCAACGCACAATTTGGTGAAGGCGTAAAGCCATACGAAAAAGCGCATTTGCTTCAAAGCCGTTGTTACGCTTTGCATTTGAGGCGATTTGTATGACTTTAGGAAGCGCCATAGTTTTAATACTCATGTACACTTCTATAACTATCAAAGGAAACAGCTTTGTTTGAATGGTTTGCAGCCAGTGTTTTGATGATTACAAATGAGTCCGCTTTAAAGTAAAATCACATGTACACAGTATTTGATATTTAATTATAACCATGGAATTTCCGGAGGGAAGATTTTATGTACGTAGCAACTACGAAATGTGGAAGAACACGTTTTGTTGAAACAATAAAGTTAAATTGAAAATATGGTAGTAACAACTTGACTAATGAATACATATCGCGCATCTAACTCCCAAAACATTATAAATGTCAAGTGTTTTGATACTATTGTTCTTTCCGTTTAAGTTATGACACTTAACAGTCTTCTCGTTTGTTTGCTCTTAACGCGACATCTCCCAGATGTTTCCGCCTTCCCGTCACCTCAAAGTACCAAACGCGAATGACCTAATAAGGACTTACTTCAGTTTCGCGTCTGATTGATTGAGAGGCAGTCAAATAGCGAAATAACGCAAAAACAAGGCGATCCCGAATTATTTCCGACGCTTGATTGAAAATTGATCTTGATTCAGCTTCAATACAGCATGATAGACATGAAAAACAAAAAAACAAAAAACCGAAATATCTCCAAAATCAAAGGAATTATTATATTTTTCTGAATCTTTTCACTTAACTGTACCAGTGTAAAGCCAAATTTTAAACAAATACTACTGCAACCCAATAAATACTGAATGAATATTAACAACAAATGACATGTAACCTTATGCAATTAATGCGGTTGCCTCTGGAAGCAGGCATGGGAAGCGGGCATGGGTCGGGTAATCACGACGTCCATTCAAAACGTTCACTACTCTCACATGAAGCTTAAGAAAACTCAAAGTAAAAACAAACAGACTCTCTTGAGGACGGGGAAACGCAATTACCCGAGTCGGGATTTGTTGTACACTTGGTTCAACCAGTATTCATGACACCAAAGTGGTATACGGGGGAGAGTGTTGTGTATCACGTGGTACAAATAATCCAATCATATGACGTAATATCTAAACACCCTCTTGGATGCCAATCCGGCCATATGATTGGTTCATTTGCGCCCGTGCCGCGAGTTTTCTACATCAACACAGGGCGTAACACAGCAAAATCTATTCATTCTGCATTATTTCCGACAGAGTCAAATGAAAAAGTAATAACTGTGGCATCAACCGTATATAAGAAAATAAAACGTGTGACTAACCAACATTTCACAGCACCAAAACCAGTGGAAGGAATGGATGCCTGAGATACTTCAGAGACTTCCCAGTAAATACAGTGTGATTAGAAAACGCCTGCACAATCGAAGGAATGCTTTGAGGGATGGAAAATTTCGCACGAAGCTCACAAGCTTCTTTAGCGGCCATGTTAAACTTGGTATATCGAGTTCGCTCAGGGCAGGTTTCTAGTCCAAGAGTTTGAAGAATCTTCACCTCACCACTCCATACATTCCAGGAAAATATGAATCCTACCTTCTGTAATACAGGGCTGGATAAGAGCAACAAGAAAGTGAGGTAAAATCAAGAAAGTAACAATTGAACGCTATGTTGGTCTATCCAGGCTAAGCAAAGGGTTATGTTTTGTCACAGCATTTCCAAGCGTGTAGAGGGAGGCACGAGGAAGGCGCGAGGGCTTAGACCCGATCATGTGGAAGACCGCCTCGCCTCTCGCGCAAGGTGAACGCAAGGTAACCGCTAGGGGGCGAGACACGTGCAAGATGAGGGCACCCCCTCTCTGGTGCGAGACGAGCGCGAGGTAGCCGCAAGGGGCAAAACAGGTACAAGTGGAGGAGCGTGAAAAAAGAAAAAAGAAAAAAAGAAGCGTCAATTTTTCTTTCGCGCTCCTTCTCTCGTGCGTGAGGAGGAGCGCGGGAAAAATGACGCTTAATTTTTTCGCGCTACTCGTCTTGCACATGTCTTATCCCTCGTTCCCTCTTAAAGCCGCCTTAAGCACCCCAAAAATGACGCCTCTCCAGTAGTCTAACCTGCATGTCCACGAGGCCAACGAAACAGAATTAAAGCTGATGTAGACCAACAGAGGTTGAACAATTACAAGCATCATGTCAGCTTACCTTGGACTTACAGACAGACCACAGGTCGCTGGTTGTTGCTTAACGCGTGTGAAAACCAGCAGCCTGGCAAGTGTGATCACTTCTCCACTGTCCGGACACGCAGTGATCACCTGGACATCATAGTCCTTCAGGGACTTATAGTTTTGCCGTAGATCTTCATGAGCCTGGATTAATTCACTGATGCATTGCTCTAAGTCAAGCGTTGTTTGCTGAATAGCCATCCCTTGCTTATTACTTTCAAGAGCTTTCTTGAGGACTGAAAACATTTCTGCATTTGGGTTGCTTTGGTTTATTTTAGCCACTTGTTTTAAGGGGGCACTACCACAACGTTTTTCAACTGTAAGTGACAGGGAGCCATCATACATGTCAAACTCATTTGCCAGATCAGGAAGTTCATCATAGCTAGAATCATTGCTAGTTTCTTCATACAATTTGAAAACAGATGAGGTCAGATTATTGTTGTTTACAACTGGTGCAGCTGTAACATTATTGCACTCATAAGAACTGTAGCAATGTGAGCATGCAAAGTCACAATGTGCTTTATCAGACTTATCTTTGGCGGAGACATGACTGATACTTGATGAATCACCAGAAATGTTAGCACATGTACTTGAACCCTTTGTCGCATTCAAGCTTTGAAATGAATTCACATTACACGTGTTTCCCAAACCTTGAGTTGAGTCAAAAGATAAATTGCCAGCACAAGACCTATTACACTTCACTTGGTTACTTCCTTTAACAACACAATCCCCTTGAGCACAAAGTCCTTTGTAGCACAAGTCATGACAATTTCTCACACTCATGGTACCATGAGTAGGTGAAAAGTCTTTGTCGTCATGGACTTTAATCTTTTCACTATGTATTTGATCCAGCTCATTAGCAAAGGCAGATACAATCTTGCTCCTTTCGACATCATTGTGCAAGGTACAATTTGAGTTCATTACATCAGCTTTGGCATCTGAACTTGAATTTGCACCAAGGTTTGTTCCAGAGCTTGCTGTGAAGTCAACTTTTTCATTACAACTCACTTTTGTGTCTTTAGCAGACTGTATACCTACACGCAGTTCCCTTGAAGCCAAACATGACTTGCAATCTTCTCCACTATCACTGTTTGTGTCTGAATTATCCTGTATACTACCATTAGGTACTGGAGTGCACAACTTTGAAGCACAGTATTTTCCATGGGGAAATAAAATCTTGTGAAGCTCCTGTGTATTCTTTATTGTGCTCTTGGAAGTTAACAGTTTTAATGCCAACAAGAAGTCTCCAGTGTTGAAGAGGACTGTATCTTTAATCTTCAGATTTATGGAAGGGTTAAATAAGGGGAAAGGATGTAAAAGATCATATTTAAAGTGAACCACAAAAGAATGTTTCAAACATAGCTCTGTTCTTTCACCAAGAGACAAGTTCTTGCAAATCACACATGGGTTCCAGGTAGGTCCAGCACAAACTGTAATGTAAGACTGATGACTCTGATCTCCTCTTGAAGAGCGTCTGCAGGATTTTAAAGCAAACAAGCAAACGAAAAAACATATGACTTCACTATTAATGATGTATCAAAAACTAAAACTCATGTCATTAGGGACTTTGAGACTTAATTGATGACTCTGATTGCTTCTTGCAAAGTTTCTGTGTGATTTAAAAAAAAACAAAAAAAAAAAAATGTGTGATCACACTATCAACTATGCCTTGACAAGACTGATATATAATAATGTTACTCAAAAACTTTAAGGGAAAGCTAAAAACAGAGTTGTTCACTCACACTTCACCATAAACTACAACATGTGACTCATCTGGGCTCTGAGTGACCATTAAATGTAAATCTTCATGTATTTCCTCCCCATGAAACAATGCCACTGAAAAAACCTTGAAGAATTGCATTAAAGAATAATAATATTTCAGACATGTATCAGTGATAACTAGCGCACAATCAAACAAAGATTGTAAGCCACATATGCATTGGGTAATAATTCTTCATATGGCCATACAATCTGCATAAAACTTTCCTTGACTTTTCAATCCAACTGCGAGGAGTCTAACATATCCCTCTTCTACCTAGTGTTTTAGTGGACTTGTTTTCAAACTCCAGAAAGAACAAAAAATGGAGAACATTTACCGAGCTCTAAAAGAGATTCATGCCATGGACATTCTTTATATCTATGCATTTAAAAAAAACCTGAATTATGAGGTGGGGGGGGGGGGAGGGTCATGGATAGCCCAGGGATCCCCTATCTGTGCTCCCTTGACTTCCTGCAGATAGAGGCATTGAAGCTCTTGCACATGAACATACTGTTTGTACATACATCATAAAAATCATTGCCCTTACAAAATTCTTTCCCAGATTGCATAATTTGTTGGACTACAACCACATTATGCATTATGTAAATCTATTCACTTTTCAATTTAATAATGGCACAAAATTACTCAAAGAACAGCAAACTTATCTCTTACAAACCTGAACCACTGGTTTCCCTAAATTGAACTCCCACCAATGAAGAGAGTAAATATACCTCGGCATTGGACTGGTGTCATTGTTGTCAATTTGAAGACAATACGAAATCAAGTATCTGCCATTCTTGGTAAAACCAAGAATGACATGTCTGTTAGGAGAAAGGAAAAAATTTTCAGACACCATCTCTTTTGAGAACTTTGAAAAACAACTAAGCAACTCTTTAGGATGTTTCTGCTGATAACAAGTAAATAATGATAGTTTCAAACACCATCACTTTTAGGGACTTTGAAAAATAATTGAAACTCGCATGCTCAGATGAGGATGTTTCTTTGCACCATTCCAAATAAGCCTTTCAGCTATTGCTCCTTCTTTACATTAAAATAAAATATATCAACACTTTTAGAGCTGTATCATCTTGTGCTGTGCAATGTATCAATCACACACAATGTACACTATGAGATTATTCATAGTGGTAATAGGACCAAGTGGAATCCAATTCTGTTTGTAATCATACGAGTGATTAACAAAATCAGACAACTGCAAAGTAGGAGTCTGATTTGTCAATCACTCATATGATTACAGACAGAATTGGATGACATGAAGTTCTGTTACCAATTAATCATAACAATTACCATTAGGGACATTATGTCTAAAGCAAAAAATTTGAAAATTTTAAATGGTTGTTGCTATGAAAAAAAACTGTCCAATTAGGGACATTATAACTGTACAGAGTGATTCGTGATATATAAAGCAGCTGATGCAACAATTACATTTGAGGAAATTGTGATGGTTATGATTAACACTGAAATTACAGTTGCGAAGATTTTAACGTCACGTTTGTTGGGAATAAAAATTTAACAGTCTATCAAAAACATAACGAGATGAGAATAAAAAATATAACTTGCATGATAAGATTTTAGATAGAGTATTTTCAAAATCAAACATCAAAATTTATCGAAGGAAAATGTTACCCTTTTCTGATAACACCATTTACATCTAGTATGCTGTCCAACGGAATGCAAAACCGTTCAGGGCATTTCTTGAAGAAACGAGTTCGGTTTCCGCGTAAATGCGGCTGCAAACATCCTCTCGTCTAATAAGGGATACAAAATGATCATTATATAACTGAAAAGTTTTGTATTGGATGAACAAGTTTATACTTACTTCTCGTAGAGCAAGTTTTCCTACAATATTTCCATTCCTCATTTTGTAAAACCCGCGTTTGATAATGAGCCCACGCTCGCTTGACCAAAATGTGCATATAATTCAGAAAAATTGTGCGCGAGTATCAGTTTCTGAAAGTAGCCGCTGTTTTCATCGATACTCAAAGACTCTTCGCAAAAAATTGCATTTCTCTAATTTACATTAACTAAACTTTTGGTTTTGATTACAATTTTTCATAATAATGCCTCCTCCCGAGTCCAAAGAAGACGATTTACACGAAAGAATTGGAAGCTTCGTTTCTTACCTCAAGCAAGGGTAAGTGTTTCGTTAGGTACGATGAACATATGAATGAGAAATTCAGACTTGACCAGACCTCCTTCTGAAAATATAAGCTCACTGAAAATTTGTTCAATTATATATTTCATATGTTACTTTGTATTTCTTTATCGATTTTTCTTTCAGTCAACTTCATGGATCATATGATGTGGCATTGCAAACACTACATATTTTGAGGAGGATCGTTTCCCAGACTCGCTGGAGTACTGCAGGGTAAGAATAGAATGTAAAGAAGGTTTTCCAGAACTCTTCACGCTTGATTTACTCCCAATTAACTTTGAGATGCAGCAGATAACAGCAAATTCCTCTTGTTTCTAATTTAAACCTTAGTAGTGCTGGCTTAAGGTTTCAAATCAAGTGGAAATCTGGTGTCATTTGAGATATTAATCCTTTATACCTTAACATCAGTTTACATATTCTTCCTACTGTACTCCATACATTTGCTAGGGTGCTGACAAGGATAATATGGTGATCATTTCCTTTATTCTCATGACCTTTATGTGTGATTCCAAGGTTATATTATAAGGAGAAATTAAATGCTCTCTTAGAGGTTAAAAGGTTTATTAAACATGTCTGATTTGAAGCTTCTAAAGTTAATTTCAAAGTCTGATGTGACATTAATTGCTGAATGTTTTTGCACACAGTGAGTTGATGCAGTATATGAAAACAGAGGGAAAGAAAATGGCAAGTGCTCAGCCAACAGGTCAGATTATATAAATTTCTGATTGTCTAGTAGCATGTTGTCATAAATCACATCTGACTACAAAAGCAAATGACACGGATGTTGTCATGTTAAATGGATGGATCTGACTACAAAAGCGTGGTGATGTTGTTGTTTATAAATGTTGTTTTTTTGGAAAATGAGCCTTTATCCTGTCTCGAATGATTGAGCGAACCGCAAACTACTTGTTAAAATTGAATATTTTACAAGCAAATGAAGTTATTCATGATCCATTGCTGTATTTGTTTATTCTTATAGATTCTGTTGTTGGAAATATGGTACGGAGAGGTATGTTCATAGCTAACATTTTAACCTTTTAACCCTTAAGAGTGACTGGCATCTAATTTCTCTTCAAACATTAAGGTCAAGAGAATGAAGGAGCTGATCACCAAATAAAGAAGCTCTTGATTGTTAGACAAATTCTCCTCATCAGCACCTTAGTAACTGCACAGAGAGCAGTATGGAGATTATAAATACTGATGTTAGGGTGTAAGGGGTTAATACACGTTTTACAAGTACAAGCGTTTTATGATGTGTTTGTTATGTGATTTTTTTATTACACTTCTGCACACACTTCTACATTTCTGTACACAAGTGAAATTAACCCACACTTATTGGGAATTAATCAGGTTTATGTAAGTTTTTAATGGTCATATTTATTAAAGCCTAAATAACATCTTAAATGAGTTCTTTTCCTTCCAGGCTTGAAGATCATAAGAGAAGAATATGCTGGGTATGAAATTTTAGATTTACAGAAGCACGTAGTATACTTTTCTCAGTCAAATTTTGTAACTTGTTTAAGATTGAGTACATTGAGCTATACCATATGCTGAATTAAATGTGCACTGGTTCTTATGATCTGTCAGAGGACAGACTTCATTGACAGGGTTTACTTCTTTCTCATATAAAACAAATAGATTTCATGTAAGCATTAGTCTGTTCAGTAGTATAATATTTTGTAGATCATGCAAGATTTCCAAATGTGGTAGGAAAATTAGTGACAGACTTGGCAGCCAGTTCTCGTGTGCTTCTTTTTGTTCTTCAACATCATCTGTGATTTGTTCTGAGGAGATGCACGGCAACATGCAATCTATTTGTTGAATATACAGCTATCATAGCTTCTTGCATCTTGTTCATGCCATCTATTTTTACTGGCTGTTAATTTTACCTTGTTATAGTTCAGTTAGCGGTAAAACAGAAGAAGGGGAAACAGAAGAATCCTTACATGTGAGTTATTAAATAAATGTTTATTCATTTATAACCATGATGAACAATAACAGTTTCTGTAATGTGTGAAGTATTATCTGGAAATCATGTAGTCTTACAAAAGAATTTCCACTGTCACTAACTGGAAAACATTGTTCAACATTGTTTTTTTAGAAACTGTTAATGGCTGGTGGACCCTCCACAAGTGACTTCAACAAACCTGCTCATGGACTTAAGGTATGTATACTTTGAAGTCATTGACACACAAGAAACTCCTGGGGTCTGAGGATTGTATGATTTGTTGCTCAACACAGTTTTTACTTTGTGTCTGTTTGTTCTTGTGTTGGTCATCCTTGGACCAAGGTGACAAGTGCATTTTAGTGATGTTTTGACCAGTGTGTCAGCTGATGTTCTGGTTGGGTTTTTTTTCTTTTCACTCTCTGTCTGCATTTGGGTACCATCAAACCTCTGTAAGGAATTTCCTCTCATAAGTAACCACTGGAACTTTGTGTAAGCAGTTACTTTCAGTTTGGTGGCTGTGATCTCTTAGAGACACTTTGTAACCCTGTCACAGTATAGGGTTTTTTTCTCTGCAGGTTAGAGTTGAAGGGGATTATGACATTACATTAACACCCTAGAATCAGTATGCATATTATCCATACTGCTCTCTATACTTTTTCTAGGGTGCTGACAAGGAGAATTTGTGAAACAACCAAAAGCTTCTTTAGTTATAATTTCTTTCATTCTTGTGACCTCAATGCGTGATTCAGGGATAACATTGCTACAAGAAATTAGATTCTAGTCACTCTTAAGAGTCAAAGGGTTGCTCACAAATCAAATTACCTCCTCTTTCTCAAGGAATTACAAGAAAAATTGGAATGAGCAAGTCAGTTTTCTTTCAGAAGTCACTTGTTGGCCTTAAATCATGGCTCTTTCAGGTCAAAACGAGCATTGTATAGATTTGAAGTAATTCTGTTGTTTGCTTTGAATTTGTCTTTTTCTTAACAGGCAACTGTCATTGATGCTTTAAACGAACTCTTATCAGAGATTGAGGCCAGGTACACGGCTTTTATGAGTATTTTATTCTATCTTTGCGTCATGTGTAAACGATCAATTTCATTTTTTTTTCCGTCGCACCCGAAACGCATTTGAGAATCGTCAAGTCGATTGAAGTAAAAATTCCCTGTGAATGACAAAATATGGATTAAAATGGACACGTTTGCGTGTAAACCAATGCACACGTATATATTTTGCACTGCACGCGCGTGAGAATCACACGAATTTGACGCGCGTGTTGGTGCTGCAGTACACGCGAGCGTTACTGTGGTAAAGCACACTGTCACTCTGCTACCATGTGGAAAGAGTAAGTTTGCCACTAAACTTTGTTAATGACCATTGATTGCTTTGGTTTGTTTCTTTGTTGTAGCACTGATAACATCGCCACTCAAGCTCTTGAGCATATTCACTCTAATGAAGTGATCATGACGATTGGGAAATCCAGAACAGTAGAACAATTTCTCAAGGTGAGCCGTATTGTTTGAATAAGTTTTCAGCTACAAATGAAGACGATACGCTTCGACAAACTCGAAGATATTTCATTAAGAGGCTCTACGGAACTGTTTCTGTGCCGAGAAGTTTTCGGATCTCAATAAAAACCCAGCTCGTGGTCGAAAACTGACATAAAAGGGAAAAACTGGTTGGTTCTTTTTCGGCCGACGACTCTCTGCTGATTATCGGCCAGTTATCGATCAAAATTCGCAGGACGATGAACAGTCGGATATGTGTCGGTAATGTGTCGTGTGGTTTCGGTAACAGAGTAGCATTGCCTTTTGTAGCGTTAAAATAAAATGCACTATTTTCTTTTTATTGTTAAGAATGCAGCAAGAAAGCGTACATTCAGTGTTATTGTCGCAGAGGGAGCTCCATTTTATAAGGTAAAGGATCTATTCAGAGCTTCTTCAAAGCTATTTTTATTTCCGTTGAAACGGCCTTTTTATTATATTTCCGATTAAATGTATCTCTTTTTTTTTTCAAATTAATTTATATAAATTATATTAATTATTTTGAACAGGGCCAAGAGCTTGCTAAGAGTTTAGCTCAAGATGGAATTGAAACAACTGTCATTACAGACTCAGCCGTTTTCGCCATTATGTCAAGAGTAAATAAGGTGATTTATCATTTTTGGAGTGAAAACTTGCCTCATGCACATATGTTTTTTGGGGGGGAGAGGGGAAGGTGGCCGACAGTTGTAAGAGGAAATAAACGTGGCTAATTTTCAAAGAAAAATCATGAATGTTGTAAGATATTTCATGTAATTGTCAATCTTTCGTAAATTGAACACTCGCCCGGTGCCATGTTGTATCTTTTTGAGGGAGTAGGTCGTGATATTTTGAGTCGCTGAAAATTGTCGTTATTTTGAAGGAAAACACCATGATGAAACTTCGTAAGTGAGACGAAAAACAAACAAATAAACAAACAAAAAGGCAGTAAATTCCCCTAAAGGAACTTTAGGCTTCTTGTCGGCAATTTCTTTATTTCACTGATAGCAGCTCACTTGCAAACACCACTTTGTTACGTCGATGTGAAGACCTTGACGTCCATCTGCATTGCCAGTTTTCAGAATAAAAGTAATGTCGAGGAAGACGTTGTTCGTCTTGTCACGAGCGTGAAAAAAAAAAGAAAAAAAATTCTGGGTCTCCATAAGGAATCGAACCCCAGACCACGAGATTTTGTGCTCCGATGCTCGAAGATGGAATCCGAAGATATGAGGCTCGATTCCTCGGGCGGACTCAGAAGTTTTTCTTTGTTCCACGCTCGTGAGAAGACGAAAAACATCTTTCCCAATTTCTTCACCGAGCTCAAAACTTACCATCTCTCTTATTCTATTAACAAAAATGATGTCATTTGTGTTCAGGTTATTATGGGCACTCATGCGATAATGGCGGATGGCGGGTAAGTGATCTCATCTGTTCTTTTCAGTTTTTGAGAAGTACTTTAGGCCCTGTTTGTCCCTCCCTCCAGCATCCTCTCCCTCCGCCTTTCCACCCTTTCCCCCCCAAGGTTATTATTGGCGCTTATGCTATAATGGCCGACGGTGGGGAAATGATTTGATCCGTTCTTTTAGATTTCCCACCTCCCCCCCCCCCTTCCCTTTTTCCCGCTTCCCCTCCTCCCTTCCCTTAAGACCTGGGATGGGCGAAAAGCGTAGCTTTTGAAATGTTATACGATCGCAATATCAGACCAACGCAACTCTTCAGCTCTTCTCCAAAATCCTTCACTAGAAATTCTCAGCTCGTTTTCCTCTCTAGGAGTACTGAGTAGCAATCTTACAGAACAGCACTTTATATTGGATTAATTATGAGTCAAGGTTTTAAAGGAATTTTGAATCAACCTTTTAAGGAATTTACTTTGTGTGCGAAGGGTTCATGTCTTCGCTCCAGGGTCTAGTGCGTTTCGTAAAAAAACTGACAGCATAACCTGGGACTTACATCTCTTTGTAGGTTACGCTCTATCGTTGGTTCTCACGCCCTCGCACTTGCTGCTAAGCACCATTCAGTTCCGGTACGAGTATGTGTAATATGTACACAATTAGTGCAATTTTGTACTTGAATTTAGGTGATGTAATTGAAGCTACGGTAGATCTCGTCCCACTCTAAGTTCGCCCCCCTTGCCATCAGGTCGAGTTGCTCCACGCCCAATAGGTCATTTTACAGGAGTGTACTTTGTTGTCAAGCCTTTGATTTGGAGTGAGACAGAAGGTGACCTTGTTGTGATAGAGACCAGTATTTAGTTAGCATAATAACAAAGTAATTAACATTTGAAATGCAGCAAGGTTTGTATCATAACAAGGTCAACCTTAGCCTCACTCCTGCAAAAAGGCTCGGCAACCAAGCACGCAACTGTGAAATGGACAGCTCAGAAAAAACTCACCAGCCTTTGAACACCACGTAACTAGAAATATTATGAATTCGACAGTATTTCGTTCTTATCCGAATCGAATCATATTTGGTTCTTAGCCAAAGTATTCCCGGAAACCAGACTTGTGTGATTAGTATCTATTCCTTCTTGAGTCATGTCGCCTCTATTTTGTCAGTAGTTGTGGACGTAGGCCATTGCCCCAACCCCTCCCCTCTTCTTCTCCTTGACCGTTGCCCACCCCCTTGGTGCGAATGTCTTCCTCTCCCCTGCCTTCAACTTCTGTATAAATCAAAGATGGCAGCCATAATTTTCAACAATAGAATTGTAAGCACTCGCTTGTCAAATTTCCGCGTGAAATACTTACTTCAGAAATCGTCGCATTCGAATAAAACCGAACTGACCTCAAATGTTTCATTTCAAACAGCTGATTGTGTGTGCTGCCATGTACAAACTGACGCCCCAGTACATTGTCGCGTATGATCAGGTAACTTTAGAATTCTCACCACTGCACTCCGCCAAATGTTGTTCCATTTATGTATATCAACTTCAGCCCTGTACTAGTTAGTAAGCTCTACATAATGCCTTATCGTATTCCGAAATACCCCGTTTAGTTCAAAGTACCATGCCGTTGTGATCTGGCTGTTTTCATAGCCCTTTCAACTTAAGGCAAGCAACAGACAGGCAGTAATTGGAAGGAGGATGGTTTTCAACCTGTAACCACCAGGTTACCAGTCCAACTTCCAGTTGGAATTTTTCTCGTGGAATATAAGTTTACTGCCAATTTATGGTCCGCTCTCGCTACTTATTATGAAATCAGTACATTTTATAGGTTAAAATCTGTATTATTTACCTTACGCCATTGCCCATTTTGCAGGATAGCTGTAATAAATTCGTCGTTCCTCACGATGTGATGAAATTCTCCGAAGGTAGGAATTAACCTGGATGAAAATTGCCTCACTCCCTGTCTTGGTCACTCCCATGAGTGACTAAGACAGAATTTCTCCATACAATGCACTACAACATCAGGCAGACAAGTGATGAGAATAAAGAAAAATTTCATTCACGGGATTTTTAGTTGATCCAATACCAAATTCTCCCAACCAACGTCAAAAGAATTGTATGTCAGACAGTTAGGAAAGTTCACTGATGAGATCTTGGATGGTTGAACCACCGAAATTTACAGAGACTTGATAGAGTGCGTGGAATGACCATTGAACTGTTTTTTGTTGTTGTTTTTTTAGGAAATATATTATCTAAAATTGACGTCCATAATCCAGTGTTCGACTACATACCGTCAGATTTAGTGAACCTCTGCATCTCAAACATGTAAGTTTGGTTACGTAAGTTTGTTAAAATAGCCCACCCTGGATAGGATGCCATTTTATCGGGAGGTTACTCCCCCAGCATTTCAGCGGGCTTCCGTGATAATTCACCAGTCCTCTCTCCTGGGTGGAGAGAGGACTGGTGAGAGAGACTAAATCTTCGTCCCAGACTCCTGCGTAATAACCATTAGACCACCGCCTCTCACATAAGTTATTGTGGTTACATATTTAATCCTCCAGGCCCTAACATCAGTATGCATATTCTCCATACTGTTCTTTATACATTTCTTAAGGTGCTGACAAGGAGAATTTGTTTACCGATCAAAAGCTTCTTTTGTAGATGATCATCTCCTTGATTCTCATGACCTTAATGTGTTATTTAGGGCTGACATTGTAGGGAGAAATTAGATGCTTGTCTCTTTAACGGTTTATAGGGTAATCATCACCATTATAATTTCCTCAAATGTGATTGGTGCATTAGTTGCTTTATTTTTAACTAATCGTTCTGTGCATCTGTAATCGGACAGTGTAATCGCAGCACAGTTGACCGTAAGCGGACACCTGTAACCAGACAGTTGAGGTAGCCAATCAAACTAAGTCCACTCAGCTAAATTCGTCAATCAAAGAATACATCACAATAACTATAGCGACAACCACTAATCCTAAAAGAAAAAAAAGAGAATTTTTTTACTTGAGACATTGTCTCTACCGGAGATATTTGACCTAAATGTATTTATTGTTTTCGGAAATTGTCAAGGTTATGGTAATTTATAAGAGGACTTTGTGTCGTTCAGTTCGGTTTGTAGTCATATTCGTGGTTGACAAATTAGACTCCCGCTGCGCGGTCGTCCAATTTTGTCAATCATTCGTCAATCACACACAGAATTGGACTCCACTTGGTCCTATTACCATTATTAATAGAGTTTTTTCCTTTTTTCAGTGGTGGCTACTCACCATCCTATGTATACCGCCTCGTAAGCGAGTTATATCACGCGGACGACTACTATTTATGACGCGGTGAACTAAGATGCGCCGTGGGAGACTGGGAGACAAGACAGCCTTTTGGTTTGCGCGATAAACTCAAGCAGGTTCTCTTCGTCACAATGGGCGGATATCCTACGGGATATATCTTACGAAACCACAAAATTTTGTAACAGCTCCCAAACCACAGTGTGTGTGTGTGTGTGTAATGGAAAGCCGTTTCCAGTGCAATTTATCGTGGAGATTATATGTGTAATGCGATGAAAGCAGAGTTACCTTTTTTGTTTCACAGGATTCAGACAGATTCTGGAGTTTTTGTGAAAACTTTGGTAGTCAGTGAACGAAAAGTTCTTCAGAACTGGAAAAAGGATGGAAAATAGGTAGTAAATGTGAAAAAAAGAAAGAAGTCACTTTGTTTTTTATTTTTCAAATATTCTATAACAAGCGCTCCGTCGTTGATTTTTGCTCGTAAGTTATATTTTTTGCAAGAATTTATCGTAGTCAAAATGTAGTGCACATATGAAAAAAAAACTATTTTGGCCCCAACACATTTGTGGTTGCTTTGTTCACAATACCCTATAATTTCATTTTGAAATAAGGAAATAATTGCTTAGAGAAAGTCAATCGCTGGTCTAATGACGGCCGAGGCAAGGAGAGAGGGCTTGGAAATGAGGTTTCCTGCATTTGACGTCACTCATTAGACGATGTAACCACCTAATTAGTGGGATCCAGCCTTCGCTTATCACAGAACGAAAAAGTCGTCCTCTTTCGGTTTTATCTGCTGCAGCAAAATAAGTCAATTATTCGTGCGTGATATTGTCATCTTTCTTGATGTATGATGCTGCGCGAAAGGTAAGGCCATAAGCTGTTTAGAAATTTCATTTGATTACAGCTTATTTTACAACTTATCAGCCTTCGAAATCGAAGTTTTAAGAAAATAGATTTTTTCAGCGGAAACAGATTTCTATTTGAAATAGTTTTTCTAATGTCGACGATCGCAAAAAATTCACCTGAATAAATAATTTAGTCAAATATTTATCTATATGGGATAATCCGTTTCGTGTTATCTCAGCCAGCCTCTATTGCTGGAAATCTATTTTCAGTCGGGTTGTATTTAGGTAGTGGCGTAATGTAGCGACGAAAATGACGGCTGTGGAGTGTTTATTTATAATCAGTTTTAGCGCCTACCGAATGCGGAAGATATAAATCTCTGAAATAGGTTAGTTATGTTGTGATATCATTACCTAAAATGCATGATTTATGTTTGTCTTTCTTGTTATTGCTACTCGGCAAACGTTAATTGGTCATGATTTTGATATTTCCTGGAGGCATGAACTTAAATACTGCTTTAAGTTCCATGAGTTGCTTTACAGGTGTAAAATATTATAATGAGGAAAAATCTCTTCCATTATTGTCATAGATTTTATTTGCAAAAAGAAGTTTCAATTTGATTGCATTGATTCGTGAGAGAATAGAAATTTGCGACTCTTAATCGTTTAAGTTTAAAACTCGATTTAACAGATTGGTAATTTCCATTTGATTGATTTGCAGTTTGTCCATTTTTTTAAAGGAAACGCAAAATTCTGTTTTATAGCAAATAGTTTTTCTAGGCAATGAGTAATTTCTAAACCACAGAGACATCATGAAATCATGACACTCTGAAGTTAAAGATTTGCCAGAGGTAAATTATTGGTTATTTGTGATCCACACAGACGAAAATGCAAATGAATTGAAAGAGTCTGTTTTATGATTTCATTTGTTTTTTCAGGTAATCCTTTCAAGGTTTTTTTGTGTAATTTCAACACGTAGCACCTGTTTATTTGAGAAAAAAAATAAATATTTTTTAGTTCCAAATTTGTCAGATTGGGTGGAAAGATCAAGCAAGGAGGGTGATGTAACACAATGCATGCGGACGCCTGAACAAATGAAATAACAACAAGAATAACCAACTAACTTACAAACAAATAGTGGAATAGAATTTCTTATCGCGCGTAGCTGAGGCGAACTATCTGAAAAATTTAGTAATAGCACTTAAGTATTTAATAACTACAGATTTTATTATGGTAGTATATCTTTCTGCAATAATTGCCTTTTGAATTGTGAACACCACACGGGACGTCATTTGTCAATAATTTTGAAGAGTACCTCAGATTTTCAAAAAATTGTTGTTTAAATTTCTTTCCTGAAGGAAACCGTGAGCTGGAGCGACACTTATTCTCAATATCGAAGGGAAAATTTGAACGAAGTAATTTCCAATCTAAAGTTCAGGTCGTGTTTCACGTTTCCAACTCATCAAGAGGTGCAACAGTGTAGTTTGATCTTCCAGGTGAGTGTAGTCCTGAGAAAGAATGTTGTCGGTATGGGTGACTAATCTTTCGATAGCCTGAGCGGAAGTCATCATCAGACTCAGACTACAGGACTACACTCACCCGGACGATCAAACTACAGTACTACATGTTACACCCGGGTTCAAACCAATTACTGTATCATCAGGAGGTATTTGTATTTCACAGGTCCATCGCACACATATCAATAATTTTAAGGCCATGTCCTTAGGCTCAGCAATCTGTTGGTAAAACGGTAATATTATATCATAAGTAGTAGTTGTATACCATCTGTAAGCTGCAAAATTGTGTATCGTGCCGTTTGACACAAGGTACAATGACCAAGACACAAGCTCAATGAAAGCAAGACAATGAAACCCAAACACACTAGCAACAACAAAAAGAGAAAACATTTTGCATATTTCCCTTCCTCCGACTTTCACCGATGCGAATGACAAACATGAATAAAAACGATGAGACCTCTTGGAAACCATCAAGAACAGTAATGGTAATTACAATAATGGTGATGATAATAATGATGATAATTACGTAGTAATAATAACTTCCGTGTGTATTAAATGTTACTCTTCGATGTTCATTCCACAGGGCAACAGAGTGAACCTTTCTCTGCAAATATCTCTTCTTTGTCTGCAAAAAGGAGTTCAATAACACCCCGTCTAGTGGATTTATTAAGGAGCGTGTTTAATGATGAACAAATCTATCCATCAATCACTGCTCGCTGCACTTGAAACCAGGAGCAACGAAAGAGAAGACAGTTCAATCGTCTCTTGGTACTGGATGGTTAGCCTCGCCATTGTTGTCCCAGCTTTTCTCATGAATTCCTCACTATGTGTCCTTCATGCTTGTTGCAAAAGAGTGCGTCGTCTTAGCAACATCTTTTTGATCACTCACTGCGTTGCAAACACCTTCCAAACGCTGGCAACAATGATATTGTTTTCTTGGGGAGAACATACAGACGTTTTTCTTTGCATTATCAATGTATCGTTTAGTTGTTCAGTGCTATGCATTCCCGTGATCTCGACGTTAACTTTATTTAAATCACAGTGGGCTCACCGATATGTTATTTGCGCAACAGGCAGTTTATCCTATGTCATCTTTCTAACAGTGTTATGCGCAGGAGTGGGCGTGGCAATACCTCCATTTCTCGGATGGGGGTCGCCCTTGTTGTTCTACAAATCTCCAACAACTGTTTCACCATCATATTCGATCTTTGCAGGATTCGTCTTGACTGTGGCACCTGTAGTCATCATTTGCGGCACAAATTACAAGATATTTTCTCGTGTTCGAAGCTATGAGCAGCGTGCAAGAAGAGATACAGAGCCTAACTGCTCTCGCGCGGGTAAAGCGCAGGTTGAACCGAGAAGACGAGACGGCGAAGCGAAACTGGTAATAATTATGCAAGTCTTTGTTTTTGCTGTTTGCCTTGTCCCTGTCACAGTGGAGAGTCTGTTAGCATCGTTTCTTTCTCTTGCTACGTCCAAAGTCATTAAATATTCGTTAAACTGCTTTGCGCAGGCGTACTGTGCATTATCTCCGGTCTTATATGGCTATACAAACAAGGACATCAGACGATCATTTAAGTGTAGCTGCTATCAGAAAAAATTTGTGCTCCAAAATCCACGAAAAAAATCTCGGCAACGGCAATTAGGTGGAGGTTCTTACCGCGGCGTCGGACTTTACGCGGATCCATTTGTGCTGATTCAGCAGGTTCAAAATTCATGCGATGAGCTGTCTGTTGACAATTATCTCAATGGAGGAGGTCGGGAGAGATTTGTACATTTTGCAGGACTATCCACAAATATTTCAATAAGTGTTGAAATCGATAACGTATCACGACAACAAAAAGCTGCTGAGCCGAAAAAGCGGCCGATAACGACCGAAGTTTCTCCAATTCGAAGACATTCCACGCTTCGAAAACAAGAGGATGCACCGAAAGTAAAGAAAAGGGTTCACGAAAGCGTTACAGTTTCCTTCGATTCGAAACCCGAATGCACCGAAAAACAACGGAAAAAGTACCTCGCTACTCCTTCAGTGAAACGCATGCGCCTGATTAAGAAGTCGCTGTCGAACATTTCCGATAGCGATCTGCAGTCCGGTATAGTAAGTTTTACCGGTTCAGAGTTTGAATCGCTGCAGCACATGGCGCCACATTTTACGAACTACAGCGATCCTATGCGGTCAGCGGGATTCAGGCAAGTTTTGACGAGGAGAGGAAAGTTAAAGCGAACGTGCTCGCTTCATAGACGCGATAAACGCGAGCCAAAGATACGAGGGTTTATGGAGAGACGATGCAGCCTTGAAGGGGACAGAGCTATAAGGATTGCAAGCCAAAAGCCTGGCTAATGTTTGGACAACGAAAGAGAGAGAGAGAGAGAGTGGGGTTGGTCAGTGTCTCTTGTGTATATCGAACTCCAATATCTCTTCCCCCCTCCCTCCCTGGCGAGTTTTTGAGCCCTCTGTCATCTAAACTTTGTGGCCTGTTTTTGTTTGGAGAACAAGACTGACTTTCGGAGTTTACTTAATTACAGCCACATGTTGATTTGATAAATTTATTATACATCTATTGATGGAGCTTAGATTTCAGCCGTCCTTTCGGAGAATTAATTTTACAGCCAGTGGATTTCTTTGTCTTTCATTTTAGTTTCCAGGAAGAAAGACATCCACGTGTGACCATGATTTAAAGCAGTCAGTGTCATGTTGAACCTCCAACCCCATGTTGAAAATTCGGCTTTCGTCCTTGAATGTTATGACGGCAAATCTAATCCTCACTAAGAGGCTAGGATTCAATATTGTCGGAGTCAGAGACCGAGTCGTTATCAGGAGCGCCGAATGAGTCGCTCCGGTAAAAAACGAACCGATTGAATTAAATGCAATGTTATCTATGTAAACTAATTTGATGGAATCGAAAGTCATCGGACTTCGATTTACGATTTTCAATTGGACGAAGGCGCTCTTAAGAAACCAACTATGAATCTGACTTCATCTGTGGTTATAACAAGCTTCGACAGCTTCATTCCAGGGATGATCATTCTTATACTCTTAGGATAACTGAAAACGCAAGGGAATGTGGCCAGTGTGGCTGTTTTCTTACTTTGTAGTTACTGAAAAAAATTTTCGCAAAGGTCACTCAAACCTACATGCTTTTAGGCGGTGATCCTTCATCTATCAAGGAGGAAGGTTACATTGCTACTATCTTAGCAGAAAATAAAAAAAATTGTCTCCGAGATTAATAGATGTCGCTCTAGCATTTCAGCCATGAAATCGCGAAGTGTGGCGAAACTTTCATAAAATATACAGTTTTAACCATTCAGTAATACAAAACTAGATTATGCTCGTAAAGTTTGGAACGGGCATTTCAAAGACTTACATTCAACTTTTGAGAATTTTGTTTATTTTTCACAGAATTGTAAATATTCTGGTTTAAGTAGACAAAAGACAAAACGTTGTTTCTTTATGTCTTTATTATATCTATTAACTAGGTCCCCCTGAACCTCAAGATGGGTAAGCTCAAACTACAAGACCTACGTTAAGATTGACAACAAATATTAGAGGTCATCCACAATAAAATCAATCGATCGGATTTCCTTCTCCTGACCATCCTTCTCTATTTATAGAAAAAAATAGAATATCGCAATTCCTTTCATGCTAAAAGGTCCAAGCTCTTGTGCTTCTTGGTGACGATTAAGCCAGACTTCAATTTGTCCAAGGCAGGTTACGTGACGAATTACAGGGAATCAAATCGCCGTTTAAGTCGTCTCGTAATACCGGAAGTCTTTTGCTTGTCGATTTACAGGAAGTCAAATCGCGGTTTAAGTCGTCTCCTGATACCGTATATCAAAATAATAATTCATAATAATACTGTAAGTTGCTACGAGGGAGGTTTGAAAATGTTGTTGGCTCGATTCGATAAAAAAAGAAGATCAATTTAAGGTAAAGTTACTTTAATATTTCAACCATTGACCCATACGGGCACGGGGAAGAAAAATACGAAAAGTGAAACCACCTCACGTTCAGATATCTGACTTCAAGGAAGCAATGACCTTTGCTGAGTTTCAGTGACCTAAAGCGTTCTTTGTTAAAATATGGATCGAGGAAATAGCAATACCGGCAACATTCCGTCGCGTTTCTGACTGTAATTAAGGTATAAAAGTGATCGTCTCGTAGAAGGAATAGTAGAAAAAGTGGATTCAGTTCTACTGGTGTTTACGAAATAATTTGAAGAAGAACATTTTAAACATAACGAGGTGAGTTGAAGTGATAGTCAATGTATCATCCTGTTTGAAATCTTTTATATTGTCACTTCTTTCGTCAGTATAAAGTTGTAGAATACTTGAACGTATTCAAGTAGTCTTTACTTATTTCTTGGTGACACTTAATGGTTTGACAGGATGTCTTCATGTCTGTTTGCCCTTCTGGTCCTGTGCTTCCTTGTCTATTCATCTCAAGCCTCGCCTGTTTACAAGAAGGTAAGTTGTTCAATCATAAAACTTTACAGAAATGTTTTTAAAGTGGCAACCGTTCGAAGCGAACATCTCAATTATTTCTGCCAATGACAAAACACTGGTGTGACTAATTTACCTCTAAGGCTTTTTGATGAATTGTACTGCGTTCAGTTCTAAACTATGTCGTCTTGATTTTCATCATGATCAGCTCGTGGATGTCGAGGAATATCGTCTCCACATTCATGAATCTGGAGAAGAATTCAACGAGATGCTTACAATTGATGAGGAGGAACAAACGGAATTGTTTAAAGTTCCAGCCCACAGAAATATTGAAAAGTCTGATATAATGTTTGACTTTAAAATGGTAAGTAATTACACTTCCTTAAGCAACAGTGTCCTGAGTCTCAGCGCGTTGTCACTTACTTTCCTTGAGATTGAGTGAATTTCATTTCACTACGCTGCAAACTTGCTTCCAATCGGTAATGAACACTATTGTTGTCATGTGATGAGAACAACTTGGAAGAATTTAGCCGGTTGATTGAGGCTGGGGATGAAGTCGCAAGTCACGAAGAAAGAGGACAGAAAGAAACAACTTTTGCTAGCGTGTGACTCAGACTCATTTCGAGATACTTGTCTAAGCAATTGATAAAATTGGGATGATGTTATGCCTATTATTTGAAAGTATTGACTCTAAGTCGCCATGTACTATTTTATTAATTATCAAAACCCTTTTCTCTCTCCACAGAATGCAACAATGATTCATTTTCCACTCAAGGGCTTGTGCTTTCTTCTTCCACTGACACGCAGTCAGCCTACACCAAGAAACCTTGCCGCGAACTTGCATCAGGTTAATCAAAATGGTCGAAAAGACAAACAAACAGACACTAAACTATTAAAAAGAGGGAAAATTACGCCAAGTAAAACTCCTACTTAAGTTTTGCTTTACGCGGTACGCCGTAAGTCCGCCTTTTTTTTTTGTTGATCAGGGTATGTTTTGGTTTGTTCTAGGTTTCCAGCGATGAAGTCACGACACATAAAGAAACCGTCAGAATTGGTAAAGGAATTACCGACCGTTCGATCCTAAGTGACAGCACAGCAAGACTTTGCTCCAAATCCCGGATCTTCCGCGTAACAGAAATACCGAGCGGAGTTGACGTCACAAGTATGAAGCAACCTGCCTTACGTGAGTAAACTTTGTATAATTATGCGATACCATGGGCATGAAAATCTTTCAAAAATTTATCAAAGCTTAATTATTAAACTCGAAGTACATGTCTTTGGGTCACCTTTCAGTAGCTTATGAGTGAAAAAGCTAATATAATTTATCACTGAGACTCTTTTTCCCGACTTGAAAGTTCCTTTGTGTTCATTAGAATCAAAAGCATATAAACAGTTTATATTCTCTATCTGGAATATAAAATTTCTCGAATATCATGGCTGACGGTGCCATGAATTTTCCTTGAAATCAGGATGACTATCATTGGCAAGAAATTAAATGATGTTACACACACACACACACACATACATATATACCGAAGTAAAATTGAACGTTGCTGAGTCTGCGTCACAGCATTTATTGAAACTCGCAAGGAACTTAAACAGTTATCCCTCGGTGGAATGTTTTTTTTTCCTGGGGGTATAAGGTTTGAAGATTTATACAGCAAAAGCCCACTTTTAGAGGGAAGAAGTTAGAACAATAGATTCTTTTTTATGCATGCCATTCGCTCTGACGAAGGGCAAACGCTCGAAACGTCAGCTTTTTTTAAGCTCTTTACGGTGGCCAATTTACGTTATCAGTTGATAATACTAGATTATCCTTCTTTGTGGATCGTACATCAGAGCTTTTCATATTAAGCAACAAAGGCTGACCCGGAGAAAGAGAACAGACTGCTCAGAGCACCTTCTTTACTTTTATTTATAACCAGGGCGAGCTCGCAGACAGAATCGTAACTATATACTGTGCGACGATGGAATGAACCTCGGTGAAGCTGCCAAAACTTGTCCTATGAAATTCAAACCAAAGTGCAATGTAGAACTCTCATCGTGTGCTTGGATTGTAGATTGTCCGGGATTGTCGGGCATGGTATTCAAAACGTTAGAAGAAGTTAAAAATTATGAAAATGCCAACGGAATCAACCTCACAAATGGCAGAAGGAGAAAGAAAAGGAGAAGTACGCCTGTTTGTAATCTCACTCACTTAGAGTACTCAATTGTTTGTTGTGGTTACTATTGTCCAGCTCCGAAGATTCGATCATACACTTCTGGTTGAGGCAGCTTTGACACATTCAATCCCACGCTATACTGAGTGCTATTCTTAATCAATTTTTACCGTTTTTGTAATTGTCATATTTTCATTTATAATAAAGTTAGGATATAACACGTGCTGTCATTGGTTAAAAGAGCGTGCTTTATGAGAGTATAGAGCATAGAACTGAGCTAAACCTGTCACGTCATCTGCCATGTCCGACCTTTTCCGGGACTTCTTTCTAGCTTCTCCTTCGTAAATTGAGAGTGAAATTTCGGAACCCAACACTTCTTTCGTGCTCTAGCCGCTTCCTGCGTGCTTTACAACAGAAAAGAGCACAGTCAGGGCTTCTCTATTTGTTAAATATTTTTAAACTTGGTTTGACAATTTTTTTTGTGGCGTACCTGTAAACTAGCTATCTAGCTAAGCTTACCGACCACGTTAAATACATTGATTGACTGATTAATTTATTATGCTGACGAGTCAATTTTTTCGTTATTATAAAACAACTGCTCGACAATAAAAAAACTGAAAATTTCATTTGTGAGATAGACTTTTTGTCTCCAAGATCTTGTTAATGATTCTTATACCTGCAACAAATTTTAATTTGCAGTGGTGAAAGAAATATGGTATTGATGAAGTTCACTTACTTAAGTCGATAACCTTGTGTTTCCCATCAGCATTTTCCAGTTAAGAGATAACAATCCCTTTTGGGGGGGGGGAGGAGAAGGAGGGAGTTATGAAGTCGATACTTAGGTAAATAAGACAAATATATTTGAGTATGACACTCTCGCAGACACTTTTAAAAGGAAAAATTGGATTTTTCTTTTGTTTATGTTCTCTCCTAAGTGGACACCCTATGCATAATAACCGACTCTAGGCAATGCAATTTGTCTTTAATTTGCAAATCACTCATTAGACGATGTAACCACCTAATAAGTGGGATCCAGCCTTCGCTTATCACAGAACGAAAAAGTCGTCCTCTTTCGGTTTTATCTGCTGCAGCAAAATAAGTCAATTATTCGTGCGTGATATTTTCATCTTTCTTGATGTATGATGCTGCGCGAAAGGTAAGGCCATAAGCTGTTTAGAAATTTCATTTGATTACAGCTTATTTTACAACTAATCAGCCTTCGAAATCGAAGTTTTCAGAAAATAGATTTTTTCAGCGGAAACAGATTTCCATTTGAAATAGTTTTTCTAATGTCGACGATCGCAAAAAATTCACCTGAATAAATAATTTAGTCAAATATTTATCTATATGGGATAATCCGTTTCGTGTTATCTCAGCCAGCCTCTATTGCTGGAAATCTATTTTCAGTCGGGTTGTATTTAGGTAGTGGCGTAATGTAGCGACGAAAATGACGGCTGTGGAGTGTTTATTTATAATCAGTTTTAGCGCCTACCGAATGCGGAAGATATAAATCTCTGAAATAGGTTAGTTATGTTGTGATATCATTACCTAAAATGCATGATTTATGTTTGTCTTTCATGTTATTGCTACTCAGCAAACGTTAATTGGTCATGATTTTGATATTTCCTGGAGGCATGAACTTAAATACTGCTTTAAGTTCCATGAGTTGCTTTACAGGTGTAAAATATTGTAATGAGGAAAAATCTCTTCCATTATTGTCATAGATTTTATTTGTAAAAAGAAGTTTCAATTTGATTGCATTGATTCGTGAGAGAATGGAAATTTGCGACTCTTAATCGGTCAAGTTTAAAACTCGATTTAACAGATTGGTAATTTCCATTTGATTAATTTGCAGTTTGTCCATTTTAAAGGAAACGCAAAATTCTGTTTTGTAGCAAATAGTTTTTCTAGGCAACGAGTAATTTCTAAACCACAGAGACATCATGAAATCATGACACTCTGAAGTTAAAGATTTGCCAGAGGTAAATTATTGGTTATTTGTGATCCACACAGACCAAAATGCAAATGAATTAAAAGAGTCTGTTGTTTTATGAATTTATTTGTTTTTTCAGGTAATCCTTTCAAGGTTTTTATGTAATTTTCAACACATAAAACTTGTTTATATGAGAAAAAAAAATATTTTTTAGTTCCAAATTTGTCAGATTGGGTGGAAAGATCAAGCAAGAAAGGTGATGTAACACAATTCATGCGGACGCCTGAACAAATGAAATAACAACAAGAATAACCAACTAACTTACAAACAAATAATGGAATAGAATTTCTTATCGCGCGTAGCTGAGGCGAACTATCTGAAAAATTTAGTAATAGCACTTAAGTATTTAATAAATACAGATTTTATTATGGTAGAATATCTTTCTGCAATAATTGCCTTTTGAATTGTGAACACCACACGGGACGTCATCTGTCAATAATTTTGAAGAGCGCCTCAGATTTTCAAAAAATTGTTGTTTAACTTTCTTTCCTGAAGGAAACCGTGAGCTGGAGCGACACTTATTCCCAATATCGAAGGGAAAATTTGAACGAAGTAATTTCCAATCTAAAGTTCAGGTCGTGTTTCACGTTTCCAACTCATCAAGAGGTGTGACAGTGTAGTTTGATCTTCCAGGTGAGTGTAGTCCTGAGAAAGAATGTTGTCGGTATGGGTGACTAATCTTTCGACAGCCTGAGCGGAAGTCATCATCAAACTCAGACTACAGGACTACACTCACCCGGACGATCAAACTACAGTACTACATGTTACACCCGGGTTCAAACCATTTACTGTATCATCAGGAGGTATTTGTATTTCACAGGTCCATCGCACACATCTCAATAATTTTAAGGCCATGTCCTTAGGCTTGGCAATCTGTTGGTATATAATATTATATCATAAGTAGTAGTTGTATACCATCTATAAGCTGCAAAATTGTGTATCGTACGTTTGACACAAGGTACAATGACCAAGACACAAGCTCAATGAAAGCAAGACAATGAAACCCAAACACACTAGCAAAAACAAAAAAAGAAAACATTTTGCATATTTCCCTTCCTCCGACTTTCACCGATGCGAATGACAGACATGAATAAAAACGATGAGACCTATTGGAAACCATCAAGAACAGTGATGGTAATTACAATAATGGTGATGATAATAATGATGGTAATGATATTGATACTACTAATATTAATGATAATTACGTAGTAATAGTAACGCCCGTGTGTATTAAATGTAACTCTTCGATGTTCATTCCACAGGGCAACAGAGTGAACCTTTCTCTGCAAATATCTCTTCTTTGCCTGCAAAAAGGAGTTCAATAACACCCCGTCTAGTGGTTTTATTAAGGAGCGTGTTTAATGATGAACAAATCTATCCATCAATCACTGCTCGCTGCACTTGAAACCAGGAGCAACGAAAGAGAAGACAGTTCAATCGTCTCTTGGTACTGGATGGTTAGCCTCGCCATTGTTGTCCCAGCTTTTCTCATGAATTCCTCACTATGTGTCCTTCATGCTTGTTGCAAAAGAGTGCGTCGTCTTAGCAACATCTTTTTGATCACTCACTGCGTTGCAAACACCTTCCAAACGCTGGCAACAATGATCTTGTTTTCTTGGGGAGAACATACAGACGTTTTTCTTTGCATTATCAATGTATCGTTTAGTTGTTCAGTGCTATGCATTCCTGTGATCTCGACGTTAACTTTATTTAAATCACAGTGGGCTCACCGATATGTTATTTGCGCAACAGGCAGTTTATCCTACGTCATCTTTCTAACAGTGTTATGCGCAGGAGTGGGCGTGGCAATACCTCCATTTCTCGGATGGGGGTCGCCCTTGTTGTTCTACAAATCTCCAACAACTGTTTCACCATCATATTCGATCTTTGCAGGATTCGTCTTGACTGTGATACCTGTAGTCATCATTTGCGGTACAAATTACAAGATATTTTCTCGTGTTCGAAGCTATGAGCAGCGTGCAAGAAGAGATACAGAGCCTAACTGCTCTCGCGCGGGTAAAGCGCAGGTTGAACCGAGAAGACGAGACGGCGAAGCGAAACTGGTAATAATTATGCAAGTCTTTGTTTTTGTTGTTTGCCTTGTCCCTGTCACAGTGGAGAGTCTGTCAGCATCGTTTCTTTCTCTTGCTACGTCCAAAGTCATTAAATATTCGTTAAACTGCTTTGCGCAGGCGTACTGTGCATTATCTCCGGTCTTATATGGCTATACAAACAAGGACATCAGACGATCATTTAAGTGTAGCTGCTATCAGAAAAAATTTGTGCTCCAAAATCCACGAAAAAAGTCTCGGCAACGGCAATTAGGTGGAGGTTCTTACCGCGGCGTCGGACTTTACGCGGATCCATTTGTGCTGATTCAGCAGGTTCAAAATTCATGCGATGAGCTGTCTGTTGACAATTATCTCAATGAAGGAGGCCGGGAGAGATTTGTACATTTTGCAGGACTATCCACAAATATTTCAATAAGTGTTGAAATCGATAACGTATCACGACCACAAAAAGCTGCTGAGCCGAAAAAGCGGCCGATAACGACCGAAGTTTCTCCAATTCGGAGACATTCCACGCTTCGAAAACAAGAGGACGCACCGAAAGTAAAGAAAAGGGTTCACGAAAGCGTTACAGTTTCCTTCGATTCGAAACCCGAATGCACCGAAAAACAACGGAAAAAGTACCTCGCTACTCCTTCGGTGAAACGCATGCGCTTGATTAAGAAGTCGCTGTCGAACATTTCCGATAGCGATCTGCAGTCCGGTATAGTAAGTTTTACCGGTTCAGAGTTTGAATCACTGCAGCACATGGCGCCACATTTTACGAACTACAGCGATCCTATGCGGTCAGCGGGATTCAGGCAAGTTTTGACGAGGAGAGGAAAGTTAAAGCGAACGTGCTCGCTTCATAGACGCGATAAACGCGAGCCAAAAATACGAGGGTTTATGGAGAGACGATGCAGCCTTGAAGGGGACAGAGCTATAAGGATTGCAAGCCAAAAGCCTGGCTAATCTTTGGACAGCGAAAGAGAGAGAGAGAGAAAGGGGTTGGTCAGTGTCTCTTGTGTAAATCGAACTCCAATATCTCTTCCCCCCTCCCTCCCTGTCGAGTTTTTGAGCCCTCTGTCATCCAAACTTTGTGGCCTGTTTTTGTTTGGAGAACAAGACTGACTTTCGGAGTTTATTTAATTACAGCCACATGTTGATTTTATAAATTTATTATACATCTATTGCTGGAGCTTAGATTTCAGCCGTCCTTTCGGAGAATTAATTTTACAGCCAGTGGATTTCTTTGTCTTTCATTTTAGTTTCCAGGAAGAAAGACATCCACGTATGACCATGATTTAAAGCAGTGTGTCATGTTGAACCTCCAACCCCACGATGAAAAATTCGGCTTTCGTCCTTGAATGTTATGTCGGCAAATCTAATGTTCGGGCGGTAGCGGAATTCTTTCCCCACACCTCACTCAGAGGCTAGGATTCAATACTGTCGGAGTCAGAGACGGAGTCGTTATCAGGAGCGCCGAGTGAGTCGCTCCGGTAAAAAACGAACCGATTGAATTAAATGCAATGTTATCTATGTAAACTAATTTGATGGAATCGAAAGTCATCGGACTTCGATTTACGATTGTTAATTGGACGAAGGCGCTCTTAAAAACCAACTATGAATCTGACTTCATCTGTGGTTATAACAAGCTTCGACAGCTTCATTCCGGGGATGATCATTCTTATACTCTTAGGCTAACTGAAAACGCAAGGGAATGTGGCCAGTGTGGCTGTTTTCTTACTTTGTAGTTACTGAAAAAAATTTTCGCAAAGGTCACTGTCCCTTTCAGACGAACACGAAGTCTATGCCCCTCCCACATGCTTAGAAATTATAAACATGAGGTCGGTTTTTTTCTGTTTTGCACCTCGGCAAAAAATGCTGAAGCTGGAAACGGTTAACAGTTCATCTAATAATGGCAACTCAGGATGCTCAAGTAAGTGCCACAAAATTTTCATATTCACGGGATAAATTTGCACTCAAAACACTGAGGTAATTACCGAAATAACGTTTTGGTAATTTTGTAACTTATGGCTAAAATGCAAATACATTTTGTCCAAAACTAAAGTTTTCTAGTTTTACGATAATTGGTGTGCCCTGGTTATAAGGTCCACAGGCGCTCAAGTTTCTTAAACGATCGAATGACCGGCAGTTGGATATTTTTCTGAAAATTTATAAATTGAGAGAACCTACACAATCCAAACTATTATATATAAGTCGATGAGGAACTACCTAGCGATCCCAAAATGATTTATAAATTTCATATCTAACGCTTAGTCATGTCTAACGCAGGGCCATGAATGTTGCCCTTGGAAATAGCGTTATGCATGTCGACTACCGGTCACGATAATCAAATAACTACCTGACCGGTGGTCGTAAATGTTTCGAAAAACTAACGAAATCAAGACGACCAATACAATCTGAACTATTATATGTCGATAAGGAGCTGTTAAGCGATCTCGATGAGATTTAGCGCTCGGTTTACGCTGACTCAGAGTATTTAGGGCCTGTTTACATGGAAGTGGGGAGACCCACCTCACTGCATAGGTGAGGTAGCTTGCCTGTCCATATAATCTCTTATTTTATCTTGATCGCGTTTACATGATAGGTGGGGTGATCCACTTAGGCGGGTTACCCGGTTTGCTGGGTAGGGTAACCCTGTCAACCGGGGTGACAATTTGCCATGTAAACGTTTTAAGGTGGGGTTAACCGCCTAGCCGGGGTGGTGTTCATGTTACTAAAAGATCAAATAAGCAAGACAATAGCAAACACGAGTGTGTATAAACTTCGTACATTTCCTCTCATGCAGAGCTAAAACGTTAAAACACAAATTTTTACGTCCTCTTGGCGATGAAACCTCGACAGCGATTTAGTCACGTTTTAACTTTGAACTCAACACTGCATTCACATGTTATGCCGAAATGGAGACGTTGTACCGTCAGAAATGGTTAACGCATCGAGCTATTCGCGAAAATTGTAGAGGAAATGATAAATTACGTTTTGTCGGCAACATTTTTCTTAATTACAAGCGCGATAATAACAGCGAGAAACTTCACCCCGGCATCCAGGGGTTGTAAGATTGTAGGCAAACGCGGGCTCTTTTTCGACCACGGCTAGGCGGGTTATCTCACCCACCTGGGGTCCCCCACATTCTTAGAAAATGCGACTGCCGGTCACGGTTCTCAAATGATTAAATGACTGGCAGTCGGAAATTTTTTCCTAAAAATTTAGGAAACCGATACAGCGTATATAAATCAA